TCGAACATTTTTTTTTTATGAAAAATATAATTTTATTCATATATAAAAATTGCAAAGGTTATACAATTAATCTGAATAAAGTAATACATCAAAAATATTATATTTATAAAATGTGAGAAAGTATAAAATTAAATAATTTAATATCTACATGAATATATTTAATGTAATGAAATAAATAAATTACATTTTAACATATAAATAAATAATTAATTGTTTGTGAGTTCTATTATTATCATTTTTTTAGAGAAAGATTATTGTCACATCATAAAATATTAATATCACACTAAAATATTGTAATTTTTTTTTGAACATGTTTTGCAAGGGGTGGGTTTCGAACCTTACCCGGGGGAGGGAAATATAACGGTGGCTAATGCTACTAAGTCTCAAGCACCAGGTGCCTAAAATATTGTAATTTTACTTTTATATCCCTATAATTATTAATGAGTTTTTAAGAACAATATCATTGTACGTCACTTATTTATGAACAAAATGGCCAAAAAGTATTCTTGTTTTTTTATACCTAAACTAACATTAAAATTAGTCAAAGCTTATACTCAATATATGCCCTCTATTATTCCCTCCTCCTACCTTCACTTTATTGTTATAGCTCAACTTTAATTATATATATCATTGTACTACCAAACTTTTAATTTCCTTTAATTATGTCTTTTTTCTAAGGTAATATAGGTAAAATATATAGCATACTTTTTTTTTCTTATACAAATTCTTAATATGTGGAGAAAAAATATATTAAAAAAGACCATTATTTTGATATATATATTAAGGGAGTACAACTAAGCTTAATTAAAAACTTACCCCAAACTGTCAAGTTAATTAATTTTCCTGCAGTTCTATGCTCTGAAAAACTCTGCTCTTCTCCCCCATTGAGCATATGGTAAAAACATGGGAAAGTAAAAAGAAAATGAGAAAAGAGTACTATATTGGTAAAGTAAAAAGAAAATGAGAAAATAAGTATATTGATAAAGCCCTTTTTTTTTTTTTTTTTTGGGTATAAAGTATATTAGTAAAGTTTGAGAGTATATTCAGACACTGATCCGGGCACATGTACAGAGGGTGGTGTCGGAGGGAGCACGGCGACTCCTTAGCTGCAAAAGACTATCTTGCCCTAAAATCAGACAAAACATTGGCGATTCGTTCAAAGGACAGGAATGGAAGTTCAATCGGTGGCCGCATAGCTTGTCTTAGAAGTCTAAAGTAACAAATCAAGGTAGGATTTTTTTTTCACATTCCTTTTACGAGACCCCACGAGTGGACTTTGCTGCAAATTTTCATTCTCTACTCTGAGTACGAAAATGAATTATTGACAGTAATTTTGAATGAAAATAATACCTATTTATTTTACTTTTTAAAAAATTTAAAAAAATATTTTATAATTATATCATTTTAATAAATTTTTATTAAAAAAATTGAAACATCTTATTTTTAAAAAATAAATTAGAGTATTTTTTGTCATTTTTTATATTGTTTTATTAAAACATATAATTTTAAAATAATTTTTTTTATGATTTTTAGGAAATAAGAGGATAAACACTAATCCTAATTTAAATTGTATATTTTTGCAAATCTCTTCACATTTCTTTAAGATTCAAAGTTAATATGTAAAATTTCGTGATCTTTATTTTTCTTTAACAAAAAGAATTGGGGCGAAGGATTTTTTTTTTTTGGTAGAGTTGAAATCCCAACTAAGAATATAAAGAAGGGTGAATTGCTAAATTACTTAAGTTGGTGTTAAATTTAGAGATTTTAAGTAAAATTTAAAACACAAGTTAATTTTATTTCACAATATCATTATTGTATTATACGGTTCATTGCAAAAACAAAAGATCTTTATTGCATTTTGTCTTAATATTCAAAATTAGAATTAGGATAAATTAACTCACATTAGTGTAAGACTTTAAAGTCTTGTATAAATTATCAACAATTAAATATGCAATTCAATGGTTGAGGTGATGGTACTGTATTTAATATATAGTATATTTATCAACCTATTAAATATAACACTTATCAACTCAACTTAGATCTATAGGACGTCTGACTTAAAAGTCTTATGTATATGACTAGTCACATTAAATTTGTGAAATCAATTGCTAAGAGCATGAGATGATGAAGAAATTGTATTTAGTAATATATTTATCAATTTACTAAATATAATACTATCAATCTTAGTTCTTAAATTTGTAAAATTAATTATTGATAATTGATGTAAAACTTGAAAGTGTTATATGTAAATAAATCATATATCTCAAATTTTAAATGTACAACTTTATATATTGGAACATAAGTTAACAATTTCATTTCATAATAAAAATTTACAGTTACAGATATAGATATATATATATATATAAGGCACAAAAAATACAGTAACATCAATCAAATAACTATTAATAGAAGAATGAATTCTCAAAATCAAAAGATCCCTTTATTAATAGTTGAATAAAATGTAGTACGCGAACTTCACTTCACTTCCTTTTCCTTTTTTTTTTTTTTACTATGTAAATCATCCATATTACTAATAAGTAAAAAAAATAAAAAAGAAAAATTATACAGTATACACGTTTAAAGTTTGGAGCTCTAACAATTAAAACATTCCAGAATGGTCCCCACACTGCTTCTTTCTAAAGCCACACCCTCTTAACCTACTCAAAGACAACAGTCAATCAGAAACCCCACAAACTCATAGTCCTGCAAAAAAATTTTCTGTCTTTCTCTCTCTACAGGGGAAATATGGATTAGTGAGAAGAAGAAGGAGCAACACAAGAGAGAGAAGGGGGTTTCAATTTCATCAACCCCCCCACCCCCCTTTGGAACCCCAAAAACAAAACATTTTAAATTAAAATCCTTTGAAAATCCCCACAAACCCCACCAGATGGAACTTACAGATTTGCAAACCAATAAACCAAACAACAACAACACCACCACAAACGCCAATTCCTCAGAATCCCACATCCTCCACCACCACCACCACCACCATCAGCAAAAGCCTCCGCCTCCTCCCCACTCCTCTTCTCAGTTCCTGCTTCCTAATTTCGATGGCAGATCCTCACAGAATCCTTTCGCCGTGCCTTCTATCCATCATCTTCATCCTGTTTCTTCAACAGGAACCTCCTCTTCCTCTTCCAATTCTTCTTCCTCGTCTACCTCTCCTGCTTCCGCCGCTGCTGCCGCCGCTGTTGACGCGTCACTTGCTATCGCCACCAGATCTACCTCTCTGAACACCGATTCTACCAAAAAGTCTCAGTCCAACTTGCCGATTACACCCGCGACGACGACAGCGGGGACTGCAACGGCGAACCCGCCAGTGAAGCGGTCCACAAAGGACAGACACACGAAGGTCGATGGACGCGGGCGGCGTATCAGAATGCCGGCCACGTGTGCAGCTAGGGTTTTCCAATTGACGAGGGAATTAGGCCATAAATCTGATGGAGAGACGATTGAGTGGCTTTTACAGCAGGCGGAACCGGCCATAATTGCAACCACCGGAACAGGTACTATCCCGGCCAATTTCTCGACGCTCAACGTTTCCCTGAGGAGCAGTGGATCCACGCTCTCCGCTCCCCCTTCTAAATCCGCTCCTCACGCGTTTCATGGCGCGTTAGCTTTGGCTCACCATCCTCATACTCACTACGAAGAAGGGTTTCCCTCACACAGTGCTTTGTTGGGTTTTCACCACCAGCACCAGCATCAGCATCTGTTGACGGCGGATCAAATAGCAGAAACGCTACCTGGTGGCGGGGGTGGCAGTGGAGATACTGGGGGAGGCGGCGGAGATTCAAGTGATAATTATATGAGGAAACGCTTCAGAGAGGATTTATTTAAGGAAGAGAATCAACAGCAGGGCGAAAGCAGCGGCGCCGGAGGTGGTGACGGGTCGCCTATCAAGGCATTTAAAGCTGGTTTAGGGCATTTACAAAAACCGCAACATGAGCCCGGTTCTTCGGGCTTGCTTCGTCCATCAAATATTCTCCCCAGCGCCGCCATGTGGGCAGTGGCACCAGCACCGAACAGTGGAGCCGGCAACACATTCTGGATGCTACCTGTGACAGCTGGAGCCAGTGGCGCTGGCGGCTCATCTATAGCCACGCCCGCTTCCGGGGCTGGTCCGTCCGAGACACAGATGTGGCCGTTCGGAACCGCAACACCAACAAGCGGAAACACAATACAGGCGCCACTGCATTTCATGTCGAGATTTAATCTGCCAGGGAATATTGATTTCCAGGGCGGGAGAGGGAATCCCCTACAATTGGGTTCAATGTTAATGCAGCAGCAACCGTCACAGCATCTGGGGTTGGGAATGCCGGAGTCAAATTTGGGAATGATGGCGGCGTTAAACGCCTACTGTAGAGGCATTCCGAACATAAATTCCGAGCAAAATAATCCAGTGCAGCAGCATCATCAGCACCAGCCTCAGGGTACAGATAGTGGAGATGAAGACCCAAACAGCTCTTAGTGATAAAACTTGGTAAAAAAAAAAAAAATAGAGTTGCTTATGATTCCAATATGTGAAATTTTGATGCATTTGATTTTCTCTTTTTTATATATATATCTTTTTCAAATTTTATTACAAGGAGGGGGGACTAGAGATTGCTGGGTTTGTTTGCGCAGATTTGGAAGATGAATTTGTGGTGAGAGTTTAAGTGCATGAATATTGAAAATTCAATGGAAACGTGGAATATCATCTTGGAGATGGGTTTCTTTAGGTACCATTCTATTTTTATTTTGTGGGTTTATTTTTATTTTGGATTTTTTTAATTTTCTAGCTAGAGTGAGATGGAGGAGTTTGGTATATGTAATTTTAGTTATTGTCCAAATGGACTGACAAGGAAGTAAGAAAGTGAGAGAGATTGTATAGGAGGATAATTTGTTCCTATTTTAGTAAAACTATTATTATTTGCTTTGTGTGTATGATGAATTTGGAAAACTAAAAAAAGAAAGAGTTAAAAAGAAGAAAATCTAGTAATTTGTTACTTGTTTTTGCACGAGTTATTCCCATTCTCTTTGAGATCTTCCAAGCCTTGAATTATAATCAATGAATTTTGTCCTAAGGTGATTGTTGAAATTAATTTCTTGCCTCACAATTTTAGTTACATCAATGCAGGGATTGAATTATGTCTCTTGCAATAGATATTGTCTGTTTGTAACGTGGAAGAAGAGGTTGGTACTTGCTTATAATGTCGATGTTGGATTTAACCGCACTTCATTAATTTCAAGTTTCAAGATATAGCTAGCCATTGAACTGCTCCAACCACAATGAAGTCTTCTCTCTATGTGAGATGAGAAAAAGCAGAGCAAAAAAAAAAAAAAAAGGTGTAAAAGCAAAAGCTTTTCCTTGGAGAAGAGAAAGATTAAAGAAAGAAATCCCACAAGAGTTTACCTCCATCTTTCCGTCCACACCTTATCATGTTTCAAAGTGATCCGGAAAGCATATGTCAGTTGGGTCTTACCTTCTTCCACCACTGCCTATATTTTATAGTTTCCTTGCAAACTACTTGCTTTCTCATCATAAAAATTTTCTAGGCATGCTCGATTTTCCTTTTAAACAAACAAGCCCCACCTCTCTCTTGAATATCTCCTTGATTTCCGGGAAAATTTATTCTTCCTTGGACGTATGTTTGATTGTTTAATGCTTCCATCATGGGAAAAATGCTAATCTATCATTGAAAGTGCCTTAAAAATTCAACTCAAATCCAAGGAAATTGCAAAAGCGTTTATGAATTCTACTTAGAATTCAAAGATATTCTGAAATAATCCTTAATTTGCTTGCAAATTATTTAGTAATTTCAGAGAATTATTTCTTATCATGTAATTAAAAAATAAAAAAATAATATAATAATAATTTTAAGACTAAATTTTGAAACAAAATTATGTATTAACATTTACCTTATATTTAATTTGAAAGAAATTGAAGAAAAAAAAATTTCATAATTAATCAAATCATAATATTTAAAAATCTCCCTCCGTTCTTTCAAATCCTTTCAAATTGAAGATACTATTAATGTTAAAAAGTAAATCCTAACTATCATTATTCACGTAACAAATATAACCGCGGTATCTTCTTACGAAAGCCATACAAATTAAGTGGAGTGAGAATGACATTGTTGTGACACGGACACGGTCAATACAGATGTCTTTCTCGTGTTCATTGCTTAATCATTTTCCCGTTACATGTTCATACCTATCTTAATTTAGCTTTGCATTAGTCTTCCTCAGACTCTTTGCTATTTATGCTCTGGCCCCCACTTACTTCTACTTTCCATTTTTTTTTTTAATTTTTTTAAAAAAGAAAAAATCCAGTCTTCTCTTTGAAAAAAAAAAAAGGAGATTAAAGATGGAGACACTAAAACTACGTGGTCACTACGCTGTGTCTCATAATCATTGACATTAATTTTTTTTTATTAAAGATTTAGGGGATAAATTATGTTTTTTTATTTAATTATAATATTACGTAATATTATAAATTTACAATAAGATAAATTTTTATATAGTTAATTCTTTTTATTTATAAATTTACTTGTAATATTATGTATTTATTCATTTAAAAATATATTACATACTCATTTAATATCACTTGTAATTATAAATTTATAATTTTATATAATATTGTAATTATAGTATTATTATTTAAAATAATAATAAAATAAAAATAAAAAATTATTTATTGCCCTTAAAAAATACAATAAAAAAACAAACAATTAACCTAAGATAAATTTTAAATTAAAAAATTATTGCTGTATTATTTTGGGACAGGAGTACGGTATATTTTGGTCTGTGATCTGTAAGTTACTACTAAATTAGAAAAGTTTACCTTAGATTTGAAATAGGTTAGACTTGAAGTCAATCAATGCCAGCGCCAATCTCGCTAATATCAGACAAAACTCAACTTTTATCCATCTTTTCAATTATTATACTCCAAAAGAAAAAAAAAAAAATTAAGCATATTCTTCCTTTTTTTT